TCATGTCACAACCTTTTTAGTCTCTTTCCTTTTTTTGTTTTTCTTTTTTTTTTTTTTTTTTTTTTTTGGAGATGCGAGCTCCAAACTGTCACTAGGCTGAGTGCAGTGCGCCAATCTCGGCTCACTGTACACCCTCCTAACTCCCTTGGTTAAGGCGATTCTCCCTGCCTCCAGTCCCCAAGTAGCTGGGACTCACAGGCATGCGCCACCCACAACCAGTCTACATTGACCGTTATTTTACGTAGACGATGGGTTTCACCTGTTGGCTAGGAGGGTCCTTGATCCCTGACCTCGTGATCCCACCCTCACCTCTCCAAAGTACGGGATATACAGGTGTGACAAAACCACTGCACCTGGCCCTCTGTCTTTTTTTTTTTTTTGAGACGGAGTCTCACTCTGGTCGCCCCAGGCGGGAGGTGCCAGTGGCCGGATTCTCAAGCTCACTGCAACATCCGCCTCCCGGGTTTAATACCGCCATTCCTGCTGCCTCACCTCCCGAGAGCTGACTACGGCGCCCTGCCAACCTCGCCCGGCCTCATTTTTTGCTACTTTTTAGTAGAGACGGGGTTTCACCGTGTTCACCAGGATGGTCTCGATCTCGTGATCCGCCCATCTCGGCCTCCCAAAGTGCTGGGATTACAGGCTTGGCCTCTTTCTTTTTAACATTCTACAAATGGCCATTATTTTTAGGAAAAGTCATCAGAATTCACAGCCTCATGGGGTTTTGATCCATGAGGGCCATGGAGTTGTGTTTGTGACGATGTAAGACCTACATCCAGCTACCTCACAGTGTCTTTTACTTAATATTAGATATAAGGTTTTTAATTCCCTGAAAATGTTTAGGCCCTTTTGTTTATCATGTTTTACTTTTTTGTGAGACAGGGTCTCCCTGTGTTGCCCAGTCTGGTCTCAAACTCCTGAGTTCAAACAATCCTCCCACCTTAGCTTCCCAAGTAGTTAGGGTTACAGGTGCTCACCACTGTACCCAGCCCTTTTTTGTTTAGCTTTAGATACTATCCAGTCATCTCTAGTCACGGCTCTTCTTTGGGTAATCTTTATATTTCATTGTAAGGTAAAATTACTGGTTCATTTATATAATGGGAAGCAGATATAGTTGGTTTGTATCAATGACAAATCTAATAATAATATATTTTATAACTTACAATTCTGCTTCTAAATGGATTTACCATTTTTTCATTTGACAAATGTTTAATTTTTCTAGCAAGAAGCCACAGGATCGTGAGATTATTTCAGGGCAGAACTTGTAGGTAGGAGTCAAAGTGTCTAACAGCTATAACAGAAAGCTGATTTGCAAATTCTTTCAGTTTTTACTTAAGGAAACAATTTCTTACTTTATCTCAAAATGGTAGTAATACTTTCAGGAAAGTAAACTATTAATATCAATATAGAGTTAATTTATTACCAAAATGTTTTAGCTATCTCATATATATTTTGTGAAAGTTGTATTTACGGCCGGGCGTGGTGGCTCAAGCCTGTAATCCCAGCACTTTGGGAGGCCGAGACGGGCCGATCACGAGGTCAGGAGATCGAAACCATCCTGGCTAACCCGGTGAAACCCCATCTCTACTAAAAAAATACAAAAAAACTAGCCGGGCGTGGTGGCGGGCGCCTTATAGTCCCAGCTACTCGGGAGGCTGAGGCAGGAGAATGGCGTGAATCCGGGAGGCGGAGCTTGCAGGAGCCAAGATCGCGCCACTGCACTCCAGCCTGGGTGGCAGAGTGAGACTCCGTCTCAAAAAAAAAAAAAAAAAAAAGGAAAAAGAAAGTTGTATTTACAATATGCCTTGAAAAAATTTATGCAGTCACAGATCCATAATAGCACTGTTCTTTGTTAATACCTTTAAATCAGTTATTGTTTGAAAGGGCAAGTTGATGGGGGGATTGCTTTGTTTATAAAGTCTTTCAAAGAATTTTTTCAAAGATGTTTAGTTTTAAAAACAGTTGGTAGATATTTCAGACATTACAAGTGTTGTCCTAGGATTCTCAATGCGTTTTCATTAAACAATAAATTTCATGGGCTAATAGAAATTAACCTAGAGTCTGACCTTTGAAAAAAATTTCTCAGCTGAATGCAGTGGCTCACGTCTGTAATGCGAGCACTTTGGAAGGCCGAGGCGGGCAGATCATCTGAGGTGGGGAGTTCAAGACCAGCCTGACCAACATGGAGAAACCCCTTCTCTACTAAAAATACAAAATTAGCTGGGCGTGGTGGC